GAAATACAAGGTAAAGCTCGTCGGTTGGACCTTTGGTACCAAGATCGTCAGCCCCTACAACATCCATAGCGTCGGCGACCTTCGGACGCTGACAGAGGCCCTCCGCTCTGGATCATGCCGCTGGGTCAACATGTCCCCGCTTGAAGCGACGAAGCATGCCGCAGACTACGAGAGGAGAAAGGCGGATGGAGAGGTGGTTGAAAAGAAGAGGAAGCGACGCTCAGATGCCGACACCGTCAAAGGACCACGGAAAAAGCCTGGCATCAACGACACTGCGAATGAGGAGGGGGAAGCCGTTGCTGGGCCATTGAAGAAGAGAAAGACTACCGCGACTCGGACTGCCTCTGGAGAAAAGCAGGCAACAAAGGCGGCGCCTGCGAAGGTTACGAAATCCACGAAGAAGAGTGCAAGTAAGACCACCGGCGCCAAAGGCAAGCATGCTGCCACGACCGCCAGCGCACAAGTGCCCCCGCGCGGCCCAATTAGCAACGAATTCATCATGGATTCCGAGGCGGACAGCGCATAGGGTGCTGAGAGCCCCTGCCATATTTGACATCTCCCTATCCGTACCATCTTTGTGCCCCCTCCCTCCTTACTATCAATGCTGTCATCTCTCTGTCTGCTCTAGTGTCCACTGTGCCTCATGCACCTCTCCCTTACCTTTCTACTGTGGTTGACCCTCCATACCTCCTTCTATAACTACAATATATCTGCTGTTACCCTATTCTGAGTGGTTAAGCCACTCCCACTCCTGAGGTCCTTGTCCTGTGCAAGAAACAGCACCTTCAACTTTAACTGGCTCTAACATAGCTTTCATGGCAGGAAAATGGCGTAGACATATGTTAAACCATGTATAATTGTGTAGTACTCTATGATATCTACCCCCAGCCAAAAAAGCGAAAGGAATGGAGAAGAATTGAGGGAGGTAGTTGAGCTCGTCGTTGAGAACAGTGAGGACGACAAGGAGGCATCAACGGGCGACGTCAGGGCGCTGATTGATGGGAAGGAGCCCAAAATAGAATGGCACGGGTGCCCGCTGATCCAACCCAAAGCAGCAATGAGCCGTAGGTACTAGGGAGGGGGAAAATATGGCAAAGTAGGAGGGAGCTATGGATCGCTATTGCACTTAGCAGAGGAACAGGTCTCTTGAGCCAAATTTGAACTGTACTCTCACGCCTGGTACCTTTCTAATACGATCAATCAGTTGGGATCAAGAGGTGATTTAACTTGTTCCAGCCGTCCGTCCTTGCTGATTCAAGTTGTTGCCCTTGGTTTTGTTGTCTCAGTTAAGTTTGGCAGGTGGTAAGTTCTTACCCTCAGATCACATGTAGTATTCAACTTGTAGCCTACTTATGTATGTATTATACTATGTCTCGAGGTCAATAGGATTTGATTTCCACCATGAATTTGCAGTGGTGTCCAATTTGAAGCAAATTTAAGATAAATATAAAAGCAGGATGCCGCCATAAGCGGGCAGGGGCCAGGTTACACTCACATTACTAAAAAGTAGGATCTCAACTGGGATGTTGCTGGAATGTGGCTGTTACTTGAATGTTAGCGCAACATTCGCATTTCTGCAAGATTTGATGGGAATATGCTTGGAATATGCGTGGAATCCATAGATTCTAACCACATCCCCACTTACGGTAATCTGACATTTCACGCAGTGTTTTGGTGCAGTCAGTTCCGGCGGAATCTTTGGTCCACTTGCTGACGCACTGATGGCCATTTTCCGTGCACAAAACATTGGTCCTGCAGTAAACTGGGTAGATGATTTTCTATTTATAAACTACCCTCACATCAACAACAACAAAAACCCACAACCCAATTTCTCTACAACCTCGACACCATTTTCTCTATCACATCCAAACTTGGCTGGCCCTGGAAAGACTCCAAAACTTGCCCTTTTGCAACAACTTTCAAATACCTGGGCTTCATCTGGAACCTGTCTTCTAAAACTGTTGAGATCCCTGCTGAAATGAGAACACGCTACCTCCAGAAGCTAGCTCCATGGGCAAAGGGCACCAAATCCAGTCGAAGAGAAGCCAAATCAATCATTGGTACTCTAGTTCACTGCTTGCTGGCCTTACCCAATGGTCGCTCTCACCTTCCTTCCCTCTCATGTTTTGCGGCCTCCTTTAACCACTCAAAGTCTAACTTTCATCCGAAAGTCACCCAATCCGAGTGTCATAACTGATATTACATGGTGGTGCAAACAACTTTCACTTCCTTTTGCGGTATGCACCTTATTCAATCCTCCTCCAATTAGCCCATTAGAATTTTGGGTCGATGCCTCAACAAGTTTTGGAATTGGTATTGTTTTTGACAAGGAGTGGGACTTCTGGAAATTTCTGGATGGATGGAAAAAAGATGGTCGCAATATTGGATGGGCTGAGTTCATTGCAATTGAACTCGGATTACTTCTTGCTGTGTCAAAAGGTTACTCACATACTTAGTTCCTCATTCGGTCCGACAACCAAGGTGTCATTCACGCACTACAAGGTGGCAGATCTCAAAGTCCTGAACAAAATTTGGTTCTCCAACGCATCTCTCTACTTCTTAGCACACACTCTATTTGGACCACCTCCCTTTATGTACCATCAGCCTCAAACATTGCAGATGGGGCATCAAGAGGAATTGCTGTTACACACCTCCCTTGTTCTACTCTGAATCCAGATTTACCACCTACCTTAGTACCCTTTTTAAACCGCCCTAGAGATATTACATAGTCCCATCTAGTTTGCCAGCAACACCAGTATTCACTCAGACCACCTAATTACATAAGCTACTCATCTCTTGCTCTAAAACACTATGCGTTCACTCACTATCACCTCTGCTGGCCTCCAACCATGTTTACCAAGCATGTGTACCCCTAAAAAGGCTCCCTTGCCAAAGACTCCAGAGCAAAAAACATACAATTCACCTTCAAAACCAGTTCACACTTGTGTACAAGCAAATACCCTACTCGTGTTGCCAACAAAGTCCCAACAACACACGCACCCCTTCCTCTCTCAGTCAACCTTTGACCTCATAGACCATGCCATATGCAACAGCTGGGCAGAGTCCACCTTAGCAGGTTATTCTTGTGCAGTACACCAATTTACAGCCTTCTGTGGCCGCAAGAACGTACCTATCAATCTCTGTTTTCCAACCAACAAATTTGTCCTATGTGCATTTGCCGCATCCTCTACTGGGTCCACCTCTTCAAGCACAGTCCAGAATCAGATCTCTGGTCTAAAAGCATGGCATAATGCTCACAATGCAAACTGGAAAGGCGGCATGCAACTACACCTCATCCTCAATGGGGTCAAGAATTTAACTCCAGCATTGTCACAACACCCTCCTCGTCCACCAATCAACTACAGCATGCTTTTATGCTTGGTAAACTCCCTGAATTCTTCCCAAATCCCCCTTGATGCAGCTGTTGCCGCCTGTGCAGTTACAGCCTTCTGGGGACAATGCCGACTAGGCAAACTCCTCTCATCCTCTTCATATGATCTATCTACTATGAAAAGACCTTCAAGGTCTGCATTCCAACAATCAAAAACCTCAGATTGTACCCACATCCTCTGCCTTCCACAAACTAAAACCAAATGCAGTGGCAACGGCATTGTGCTCATTCATCAACATAATAACACCGACCCTCTATCCCTCATTCAAAACCACTTCCGCATCAATAATCTACATGAGACCATGCCTCTTTTCTGCTATCAAACCCCAAAGGGTCTTGATCACTCACAAAACACCTTTTCCTTGAACGCTGCAACACCATATGGACAAACCTTGGATACCCTTGCACATCAGGCCACAGCTTCCAAATCGGAGGTACAACAGAGCTCCTTCTTGCCAGTGTTCCGCCAGATGTTGTTAAAGCCATGGGTCAATGGTCTTCCAATTCCTTCCTGCACTATTGGCGCCATCTCAAATCAATTGCACCTCTCTACATCAAAGATATCAAAAAGTCCCATCCCAGAAAAGAAAATGTCACAAATGCTAAAAGGAGGACCACAATCCGCCGTTCGGGGCTAGCCTCTGGCCATGCGCCAGCTGGGCGTTTTGCTTTGGGGGTTCATCCGCCAGCACATCCATCAGCCCTTTGCCCTGGAAAGGCACCCTTTCTTGAGGCACCCATCCAACCTCACTGCCTGAGTTGGTGTACTTACTTACATCTCGCTTACCGACACAACAATTAGAGACAAGATAGGAACAGTCGTAGCTGCCCATTGCCATCAAAAAACTTGGATGGCACCGCCAAAATGTTTGAGGCCTGTAGAGCAGACATTGCTGAATACCTTGAGGGATATTAAGGATATGACAAGCATAATAGAAGTGTTGAATAGGCTATGTCTAATCCATCCCAAAAACAACTCTTACAAGCCATGCTCAAAATGTGTACAACAAACACCCAATACACAATTCATGAATAGCTGCACACCACAAAAGACTACCTACCCAGAAATCTACTCCGAGATAGATGTTCTGAAACATGGATAGCTTGTCAAGGAATGGACTATGGGTCTGAGACAATGTTGTTTACCGCAACATTGGGATAAGCTCGGGCACCGGTGTTCATCAATGGACCATACCGGTTAACCTCACCTCACCTCACCTCACCTCACCCCTAGACCAAAAGTATCCTCTAATTGGTAGAAACAACTTTCAGAACGATTTGTATATGCATGTTGCGCCGTTCACAGAATGTAACAGTTACAGCCATGGCTCAAACTGGGGCTTCTATCCCATATTCATTGTATCAATCACTCTGCCTTCCCCTTGTTGCCTCACCACCTCAAGCAAATGGTCAGGTTGTAGTAGGATATAGCTTATGTCGTTTTGAATTTGGAATATTGCTATCGGCACTCATAGCCTTGCAGGAAAATCCTTGAGTCGCGCAGGGTTTGCAATGCGTTGATGACAGATCCTCTCTGTGGGAGGCAGGAAAGTGGCAGAGTTCCGGTGCGTAAGTCAATTGGGCTTAAGCTTTTGTCAAGCTAAAATAATGGACACATTGGGAATTGAACCCAACACCTCTCGCAGTCACTGAGTGCTAAGCGAGCGTGATAACCAACTACACCATGTGCCCTGATACCATTGAATCATCATACTATTAGACTCGACTGGCAACAAAGGTCGCCGCAGCGATAGCCTAGACGGGACAGAATGTCAGTGAGTGCACAAGACAGATGCTGAACGACTTACGATGCGCCATGTAAAATTGGGAGGAAAGAAGCCGAGGCAAATGAGGTCACCAAATTGGCAGAATGTCTCCCGGCGGCTCTGGAGAACGCCAGGAAAGCGGCTGCTCTCGAAGGGGTCCCCAAAGGTAACAACGGCAGAGACTCGGTTTTGGATGGCCGTTGTGAGCCTATTTGCAGCACTGTGGGTGACTTGAGCTCCCTGGCTAGTGAGTAATAAAGAAATTTCAGTGTCACACCAATAATTAATCACACTTGGCGCGCAGCGTACCTATAGCCAGACATGACAATCTTTGCCTTGGGGCACCTGTTGGCCGTCGTCGTGACTTTGTAAGCCATGGTTTGACCTCCTCCCTGATCTCCGCCAGTGGGATCACCATATATGTCCACAGGGTAGTCGATGCCCTCAAACGTCAACGACTTTGCGAAGAGGACACTCTGCAGAGCTGCGCGAAATTGAGGACCTAAAGCACCGCCGAGGGTGGGGATTCCAGTAGTGCCAGGGGCAAAGTAAACAAAAACGTCTGAGCAGCTCTGGCGCGCGTCGATATCTACGACGACCGATGGCACCGGTGTGGCAGTCGCAGAAAGCGCAGCGAGGGCGACGGTGATAAGGTAGGTGTAGGAAAACATGTTGATGCGATGGAGGAGATTGGATATCAAGCTGGGGTTGCTTTGATGCTTTGATAGACTGGCATTGTGCACATTTTATAAGGCGTAACCCTCCACCGATCCAGAGAGGATGACGTTGTCGATTTGGATTACCTGCGCCCCGAGAGCTAACCATTTTTGCCCAAGCTTGCATGTATCTTGCCATTCGGAAGCTAAGACGTTCGGAAACGCTAGAATTGGCGCTTAGCAAGCGGATTTCTCTTAAAAGGTGGTAGGCGAGCAAGGTTTGGATGAAGATGAGAAGGTCATAAGATCTGCAACTGCTGCAAATGCTCAAACAGGATGTATAATCAAATCCAGCCAGACTATTTCCACGTGGGCGTCGCAAGGGGTCGCATTGAGACGCATCGGAGTAACGTCGGGTATCTCGTCCTTAGGATGTGAGATGGCTAGTGCGAGCACATCCGGGAGTGGGATGATCCAGTGAAAGGACGCTAGAGGCAGAAAGGGCGACACTCGATGCTCAGGCCTGCTGCCCAAATATGGAGACAACCATGAAGCAAGCAGCCACCAAGTGATGGCCACTCGTTGTGGTGTACGCGGCTCTGGCCTAGTGAGCGTGCCGCTTCGTTAGTATCGAAGCGGGTATCACGAGGCAATAATTGTCGCTGAGACAGGATAAATGAAGGGCGTCAAGCGCCTGTCGCAGACGCAATGTGGAAAGACAGTCGGAACAGGTTGGTAGCAGGCATATCAATTGTGTGAACATTGCGCAAGCGTCTCTCCAAAGTGCGGAAATCAAGGGTATAGAACCAGTGTTGTGTCTCCATCATCCATCTGGTCTAGTTCACAAGCTGGACCGCGATGCAGTTACATCCAGCTGTGGCATCGGAGCCTACCCAAGTAACCTCCATGAAGCTCTGGTGTTCGTATTTACCCATCGGCACGACATAGCGGACCTGGACAGAGGAGAAAGATGACCGTTTGAAGGACTGCTGGGCGCGGACATGGACGGGTAGAAGTAGGACATCGTACGCGACTGTCGAGGTTCCGAACTCCAGGTACTTGCAGCTGTCGGGAAGCTTGAGCTTGTTATTTATATTTATCTCTGCTGCAGAATGAAAAACAGCGTCATCAAAAAAGTGTTTGATTTGCAGGAAGCGAACAAGGAACATATTTATACATCCAAATTTTGGTGAAGATTTCAAAGGTCCAGAGTATACATACCCTTGATCTATAGATGTGTTCCAGAGGTACTTTCAGGGATGTATCAATCAATCTTAGTGGGACTCAAGGATCATTGTTTCGGTTCCTCGTTGGTATGATGGGAGATGCTTCACAAGGCGAGCAGAAAGCAAGGATGGCAGTATTCACGTCTTCGAGACACAGAGGCTGCACGATTCTTGATCCCCTTGGTACTTGAGTTATTCTGGTGATACATGGACTTCAGTTAGAGTGAAGAGGATAGCTCGCCTATTTAAAACCTTGCCATTCGTGTCCCCTTCCTTTGTTCCTTTACTTTACCCCGCACCGACTCTGAGCGTAGGAAAGTAAACATGTTCAGTCATTGTTGTTTCAGGCGGGCCTTATGTGAGGAGTGATTTGGCAAGCATCATTTTATTTCAGTCACTAGATGTAGATGTGGACGTAAAAGAACAAGTTGATGAAGATCAGCGACCTCGTGCAAGAGTCCGAGTCCGTGTTTGCATATGTTGGCGGCGTCTAAAAATCTTGCTGCCGTCGACGAGCTCCTCTCTCTCCACCATCGACCCATCCATCTCCATCACAGTAAGTTCTCGCTTTTCTGTGCATTATGAAGCCAGAAGAATATCTGAACTAACCAAGAGATAAATAGTCACTCGAATCTAGCCTGACCAATCGTCTTACGCGGCTTCTGACTTAGTAAAGCAATAGTATTCATCTCACAGGAACTTCATTTCCGTGAGTATCTCCCACCTCCATATCCTGTATTCTTATACGAACAATGGGCAGGTGACTAAAGCAAAGGATTCCTGCGAATCCTCGGCTCTTCCATGGCGAGCCCTCACAGTCACGGTCCACCGCCGTACCCTCACCCAGGGGCCGGGCCTTCTTCGTATTACCAACACTCGACACCCCCTCCCCATCATATATATGGAACCCACAGTCCCGGTCCCCGTCCAAATTACCACTACCCATATCCGGGTATGCCGCCGCCCCAACCGCACATGAATTCTCATCAACCTGCTCCATATCAACAATCACCAGCACAGACGAGAGGAAATCCCCGTGGCGGATCGTACGGTGCCCGATCAGTACCTCATTATCCCAACCACAATCAACACGCCCATAGTCACAATTATCACCCGCAACAGCAGCAGCAACAACAAGCTCCGTACCAACATTCACACGTCAGCCCTGTGCTAGGCGTCCACCCGCAGCACGCGGGGCAACATATTCCTTACTCACCACAGTCTGCTAAGTACAACCAGCAACCATACTCGCCTGCCTATCACTACCCGTCGCCGACTGCCCCTGTCTTCACGCCGTCGTGGCAGACGCAGCAGCAGCAGCAACCCCTGTCGCCGTTACCGAAACAGTTGTTTGTGCCACAACCTCAAAATATCCAAGCATTCTACGAATCACCGCCTGCACCACAACAAGAAGTGATTCCAACCCCGCAGGCTCCTGCCAAGTCGCCTGAACCCGTAGTTTCCTCTGACGAACCCCAAAACGAGCCTTCCGTGTCATCTCCAAGGACTCCGTCGCCCACACCTTCCTCACCAGCTCCTGCATCTCCAGCACCAACACCAGCACCCCACTCATCCTCTTACTCCCAGATGGGGACGATCTCTACATCCGACTCTGTATCTCTCTCGTCTCTGCCCTCGTCACCCGCATCTTCCACCACCATCTTGAACAAAGAGTCGCACGTCACTCCTTCAAGAAAACACGTCTCCAATCCCATCGGACAGTGGGCGATTTGGTCGCGGAGACCACAAGACCCATCTCATGCGCCCAGCATCATCATCTCTCCGCGAGCCCGTCCGCCTCCTGACGTCATTCAACAAGCATTGGATATGAACACCCCACCTCCCTCGCCGCCCTCGTCATCCCCTGCTGTCGTGGTGAAAACTCTTCCTCCGTCCGGTGAAAGTGCCGGCGCAGCGGTCCGAGCATCTACACCATCGATAACCAAAGAACCTCCTTCAGCGGACGATGGTGCTGCTGCATGGTCGTCGCAGACAGAGTCTTCTGTTCCTTCGTCGGCTGTGACGGAGACGACGGACACGCCGACTGTTCCTGTGTCTCCAGCTTCTTCGAACACGTCGTTGAGTATCGGTAGCACGCCTGTTAAAGTTGTTGAGGTTGCTGGTGCAGGCCAGGCTGTAGTCAAGATTTCTACGGCGGCTGCTCCAACTCCGGCTGCCTCTGTACCTTCTGTTACTGTATCTGCGGCAACTGCTGCCTCATCGACATCTGTATCTGTAAACATCACTGCACCAGTACCAGTCGTTCCTTCCGCTGCTCCCTCTACTGCTGTCTCTGTGCCTCTAACATCATCCACCTCCGCGCCTCCATCCGCCCCCTCAACCCCAACCCCTGCCCCCGCCAAAAAATCCTGGGCATCCCTCCTCCGGCCGGCTACGTCCTCTTCGACCCCCAACGGCACCCGTAGCACCCTTCCCACCTCCTCCGTCGTCGGCTTCTCCATCCCTGCCGCAGATCCCTCATCCGCCAACCCAACCGTGCCCGTCTCCCCAACGAAGAAGAGCGAGCTCTTGGCCTTGCTCACGGGAGGCCACGGGGCCGCCGGTGCGGGCGCGGTTGTGACTGGGTACGCTGCAGCGGTGGGGAAGGAGCATAAGGAGAAGGATAAAGAGGCAGCGGCAGCGGCGATGAGGATCCGCCCAAGGGGCTTGGTGAATAGTGGGAATATGTGTTTTGCGAATTCGGTGTTGCAGGTGTTGGTATATTGTCCACCGTTCTCGCGGTTGTTCGCGGAGTTGGGGCGGGTGCTGGTTGGGCCTGTTGTGGGGTCTTCGGACGGGTCTGCGGCTAGGTTTGCTGGTGGTGCTTCGGGCTCGTCGTCTATGGCAGGGGCGAATGGACATGCCAATGGCAATAGCAATGGGGTGTGCAAGGAGGCTGGAGGTGTGACGCCGTTGGTGGATGCGACCATTGAGTTTTTGCGCGAGTTTAGTGAGAAAAAGAAGAAGAAGGCGAAGAGCAAGACGAGGCCGACGATCGTTGTTGGGAATCGCGGTGGGTCGGCAGGGGCTAATGGGAAAGGGAA